AAAAGAAAAAAATATATATGTAATTTGTACTTTTAGATTTAATTTTCCTTTGATTTGCAGATTAACTGCTTATGTTGACTCGATCAACAGTTGATTCCAGTTGATTCTGTATTTCTAGTACTCAATTGCATCGTCCCATACACAGCTCAGAAGTCTCACTAGCTTTGTGCCAGACTGCTAGTTGTTCTTATTTCACAGTTGTTTACCCTCTCTGGATGTTAGTTAACCAAAAAGAATGACTTGAGGCTTCCTTTTACTTAGTTGCTAAAGAAATTAGAAAGCTACCTGTTAAGTACTAACCTAGCAGAGTCTGTATAGTTAGACATAAGGAGTCACAGGGAAGCCAGATTTTCACTAATGGAAACACCCCGTGAAAGGCTTACTCAGATGACCTGAAGGCCTGCAAATACAGGAGTAAGTTTAATATGTTGGACAAAAGCCACTATTAGTATCTTACATAATGGTAACTTCTAGTCGCCAGTTTTGAATGGAGATGATTATCTTGTTTGGAACAATCTTTCATAGTTCATTTTCTGAGGAATGCTAATTCCAAAATAAACTATATGTTACACAGAACGTTTCCTTTTCCTAAGTCTAACTCCACTGCTGTTACTATATAGTTAAAATTTTCTTTTGCCAAAGGGCACTCACTCTTGTTTAAACTTTATCCTTTTATATGCTGATTTCTCTTTTGCCCCCATTACTCTCCTTCCTTAGCTCTAATTCTCTCCTCAAAAAAGAAAAAGCCTAACAACCAGCAAACAAAAAAACTAAATTTTTAAATATGGACCTTGCAGCCCCTTAAAAGAATTGTGGTGGACTTGTAGAGTTTTTTGTCAGGGTCCTATTTAGGAATTGGAATTAAAAAAATATTTTTCCATTAATGCCATTTCCCCCTCTAATTTGGATGAGGGAATCTTTGTACAGGAAGGAACTAGTCTTGTTTTACTGTTCTAGGCAGTCTGAATGGCCACCTATCTGTCCTGTATACTGTGATTATTCCTATAAGTAAGAAATGAGAAGGTAAAAAGAGCAGGTTCATGACATTCTCCTAACTAATCACTTATTTTCCTATCATTTATGAGCTCTAAGGAATGTGTTATTTATTTTATTGAGACAGAGTCTCACTGTGTCACCCTCGGTAGAGTGCTGTAGTATCACAGTTCACAGCAACCTCAAACTTTTGGGTTAAGCGATTCTCTTGCCTCAGCCTCCAAGTAGCTGGGACTACAGGTGTCCGCCATAACGCCTGGCTATTTTTGTTGTTGTTCTTCTTGTTGTTGTCGTTGTAGTTGACGTTATGTTTAGCAGGCCTGGGCCAGGTTTGAACCCATCAGCCCTGGTGTGTGTGGCCAGTGCCCTAACCACTGAGCTACAGGCGCCGAGCCAGACTGTATCATTTAGAAGAGGTATGGTGTACTTTCCATACATGAGACAAAAGCCTGTGGTACAGTACATTGAAAAGGAAGCAATATTGGTGGTAGTGGCGGTTTTGCTCTGAATGGTGTTTTCTTTGGTGTATTTTACTCCCAATTACATATTAAGGGAAAAAAACTTTATTAAACTTCACCATGATAGTCACTAGGGGAGAGTTATTTTCTTAGCAAAGATACAGGCTAAAGAAAAGGGACATTGTCTACTGGCTGAAGTTGGAGTAGCAAGAGGTAGCTAGATGGCATTTATATCTCTGCCTGCCTCCTTGTTTTCTGGGTGAAGGTTGTGAAACACATTCCTTCAAACCAGGGGCAAGATTAGAATTGTCTGATTACCATTGTATCCTCACGCCTTTCAAACATACATTTCCTCAGAGTAGTAGCGAGTCATTTGCTTAGGAAGGCAGCAGTAGGATACCACGTCACTTTTCAGTGGTCTTTTAGTAAATTGTAAATGAGAATTTTTAGGATCACTGTTTCTTTTTTTTTTTTTTTTTTTGAGACAGAGCCTCAAGCTGTCCCCCTGGGCAGAGTGCCGTGGCATTACAGCTCACAGCAACCTCCATCTCCTGGGCTCAAGCGAGTCTCCTGCCTCCGCCTCCCAAGTAGCTGGGACCACAGGTGCCCGCCACAACGCCCGGCTATTTTTTGGTTGCAGCCGTCATTGTTGTTTGGCGGGTCCGGGCTGGGGACTCGAACCCGCCACCTTAGGTGTACGTGGCTGGCGCCTTAGCCGGTTGAGCTATAGGCGCCGAGCCAGGATCACTGTTTCTTAAAGAGGAGAAAAAGTAATGAGCAATATATTCTTTATAGTTCAGGAGGCCAGAAGTCTTAAATCAGGGTGTTGGCCGGGCCGTGTTCTCTCTCAAGGCTCTAAGGGAGGATTCTTCCTTGGTTCTTTAGTGTCTGGTGGTGGCTGGTCATCCTTAGCTTGTGACAGTGTAACTCCAGTCTCTGTCTTCATGTTCACATGGATGTCTGTTACATGTGTCTGTTTCCGGATTTTCCTACTCTAGGAAGACCATCAGTCATTGAGTTAGAGCTCACCCCTAATCCAGTATACTTTTATTTTAACTTGATTATATCTGCAAAGCTCTTGTTCTACCCACACATTCTGGGTGGACATGAATTTGGGGGAAAATTCTTCAATTCAATACATAAGGTGAAAAGAAAGGTTGTAATAATCACATATCTTCAGATATTCTAAGATACTGGTATTATAGAGAATGCACTTTGAGGGAGGTACTTAGAACTTAGGCCTTCCTATAATCTTACATCCTATCCTACTCATTGGGGAGTTCAAGTGGGCAGGAGAAGGGCCTAGAAATAAATGGAAAGATGGAAATGATGTCATCATTCTACACTTCTTGCTTCTCATTCTAAAATGTATTTTCTTTATAATTTTTACACCTTTCCTTCTAGAGTTGTGTATGTGTTTGGTCCACCTGTTAAAGAACCCCCTACAGATGTCACTCCCACTTTCTTGACAACAGGAGTGCTCAGTACTTTACGCCAAGCTGATTTTGAGGCCCATAACATTCTCAGGGAGTCTGGTAAGTTGCTTTTTTCTTTTTTATCACTGCATGCTGTAACTAGCTTTGGGAGCTTGGCATTAATATTTCTAGTAGGAAGATGTGGCTTTTGGTTTTTGAGATGCTTTTGTTTTTGTTATTTAATTCCATGCATGGTTCTATAACATTGCCTTCTAAATAAGATTTATTCACCTTTGTGGCCATTTGTGGAAATGTGCAGAGTAGCAAAAGATTTGATTTAGCTGTTCTCAGATGAAGTTGAACAAAATGACTCTCTGCCTTGTTTGTGCTCTTGTATTGTAAACAAGTGTCCTTCCGTGATGTACCAGGTGTCATATTTCTTGCATTTTTATGCCTTTTGTTGGTGATTTTGCTATTTAAATTTATGGCCCTCAAACATAGTGCTGAAGTGCTGAGTTCTCCAGCACAAGAAAGCTGTGCTGTATCTTTTGGAGAAAATCTGTGAGATAAGTTATATTCAGGTGTGAGTTACAGTACCATTGGTCTTGAGTTCAGTGTGGTTCATCTAAAGTAAATACTAAGTAAGGCGTCTTTAAATAGACATGCACATAAAATAATGTTATGTCTTATCTATTGATTTGTTGATGAAAATATTGCAACCGGAGGCTTGGAGGAACCCAACCCTCTATTTCCCTAGGAAAAATAAGTCAGTGTTTGCTAAATCACTGTTTGTAGTATAGACTATAACTACCAGGATGCATGACAATTGATTCTGTTGATAGCACATCTCGATGTCATTACTGCATTGATGAAATTGTATCATTTGAATTTGTGGTGGAGTCCACATACCATGTGTGGGAATAGCTGTGTCTGTGTGTGTGTGTGTATGTGATTTTAGATATTGTCTAGAAGGACTTGCTTGACTGATTAGTGTGCTTTTCCATAGTGTGGTGATTGGCTCTACATGTTCCTTTCCCTAGGGTATGCTGGGAAAATCAGCCAGATGCCAGTGATTTTGACACCATTACATTTTGATCGGGACCCACTTCAGAAGCAGCCTTCGTGCCAGAGATCTGTGGTTATTCGAACCTTTATTACTAGTGATTTCATGACTGGAATCCCTGCAACTCCTGGCAATGAGATCCCTGTAGAGGTAATTTATATATTGCATATATATATATATATTTCTTTTCTGATGTACATTTTCAGTACTTCTTAGATTTTATAATATGGCAAATGGAATAGGCTATGCAATGTTGATATTTCTGGGGTTGGTTTTCTATTCATAAGGCAGGCTTACTGTAGCTGAAGAAGGCCTTCAATGTAATAGACCCTCTAAACGTCTGATTCCTATGTAGAGAGTAACTGATTATAAGCCGTAATTTTATCAATCCTGCCAACCTCTACTATATAAATAGTATTCCCCAGAAAAAACCCTAGGAATGAAGAGTTTGTTAGAAATAAGGATGAGATTTGGTGGCATTATAACCAGGCACTCAAGGGTTGCCTAGTGTTCTGGTATACTACAAATACCTATTTTATTTTATTTATTTTAGGTTAATTTGTTAGGTAGAGTCCCTCTTATAGTTGTGCCCTACACCCAAGAGGTGACCAGTTTGATTTTTGATCACCTTTCTCTTTTTTTTTATACCTCTACCAGAATGTTCCAAAGGAGCTATTTATGGTGTATATTAGCAAAAGAAAATCAAAATGGGACTTTGTTAGTTTGAACCACTGCTTTCTTATAGCTAGGTAGCTGGATTGAGGGATGTGGCTTAGAGTTTGTTTTCCCTTTGGCTTAAATTTGCCACGTCTCTGGCCAATCAAGTGACCAGGTCATTTTCTCCTCTTGTGACTTGACAGTAATTATTACAGTGGATTGTATCCCAACTTGGTGGCCTCGAAGTTGTATGTGTAAGCCACAGATAATTTGCAAAGCATTGGCTTCAACACATAAAATTTACGTTTGGATGCAGCCACAATGACAGATTGCTGTAAGTGTTCTTAAGTGCTTTTGGTGGACCAGTAAAAAAATAAAACTTGCAAACTAGCACTTGTTTGTGGATCACACTTTTGAGTAGTATAAGTCACTGATACACTGTTATAGAGGAAAATAAGTTCACTATGTGAGATTAGTCAGAGACCACCCTATACGCATGGAGGACAGCAGCGAAGAGAGTGCATTTTAATTCCGAATTGCAAGTGTAAGCCCTTTAGGACTGTTACGCATGCACTGGATCTGGCTCTTCTCTAAGTAATTTTTCTTTTTATTACAGGTGGTGTTAAAGATGGTCACTGAGATTAAGAAGATTCCTGGTATTTCTCGAATTATGTATGACTTAACATCAAAGCCCCCAGGAACAACTGAGTGGGAGTAATAAATTTCTTGTTGTATCAAAGTACTGTGTGCAGTTTAAATTGATTAGAAATTATCCCCATTAATGACATGCAGTACTGTGAAAAGAATTACTGGAGCAGCTGCATCACATCTGAGTTCTCTACAGCAAAAATCTACACTTAAGATCTGAGTTGGGGATAACAAGAAGGGACTGAAGAGTTTGTACGGGTAAATAATGGAACGCGGCGCCCACACTCAGACTCTTGTTGCTTTCGCTTTTGCCTTTGCCTCACTGTGTCTGTGAACTCACTGTTGGCATTGATATCTCTGTCTGCGAAGATGTGTTAAGGTGGGTGAGTTTAGGGGTAGCCGTGCGCCCTGTCTCCTGCCAGTTTCTAAGAGCTGTTAGAAACACTCAATATTTAACAGCGTGCTTTACTATGTATATTACCTTCTGGAGAATCTGAGTTTTCTTTATAAGTAGTCATGTTTCTCCAAAGGGTGAGAAAGAGATGAACATATCAGATAAATGCACAGGTGGGCTGTTTCTGTTACTTTTGCAAGACAGTGGGGCTATACAGTGTAAGCTGCCTAAAGTTGGAAAAGCACCAGGAATTTGTTGAAGCCCTTTAGAATTTTATGATATCACAGCCACAGGAAGAAGAAACTATGAGTATTCTCAAATTTCTGTGAGTCATCTTAAAATACTCTCAGTGTCCCACGTAGATGCTCTGTGACTCCTTGTCAGCTTGGTCATTTCTAAGGAGCTGTATCCTCCTGGTCGTCTAGCTTCCACAGCCTTGCACAGCAAAACAGTGCAGATAGAGTTGAAGAGGAAAGTGTTAATCTCTTATTAGCTGGTCGGAGGAGGAGCTGTGAGATCACAGAAGCCGTGATGCATGTCTACGGTTTACAAATGGGAAAGGAAGCATGCTTACATCATCTAGGAAAGAGCTGTAAAATGAACTCCTAGATCTAGTCTGTAGACAGATTTATTACCTGATGCTCAGAGGTCTGTGACCAGAATGCTCTGTGCAGTGTATTTGCCAAACCTTGTAGTCCTTTCTGCCAGCTCTAAGAGAGGATTCACGAACCAGTGTAGTACTTGTTGCCAATCCCACCACTTTCTAACAGATCTTTTATAACATTCCCATAAGAACTATAAAAATAGACAGTGATAGACTTAAATTCTGTAGCCGTTTCTCTCAATATTTTAGCAAAGAACCTTACCATAGTTTTCTCTTACCAGTTGCATCTCAGGTTGCTGCCTCTATTAATCAGATGTAAAATTTTGTTTGGAATTCAGTATTTAAACAACAAAATGATGCATGGCAGAGGTCATCTTTTAATTTTGGCTGGTCCACAGGATGAGAAAATGGCTGGATCAGCAAGGGAAGGGCTTCTGTCCATTGAACAGACAGAGGAATACTTGACTTCTACAAACCTTGAAGGGTACATGCTCTGTCCTGATGAGGAGGTACACATAATGGCTTTCTGGAAGGAGGCTGTGCTAGTGATCTGATCTTCACAGATTTACAGGCATTGTTACTTGAGAGCTAAAATAGACAACCTATAAAATCCCTGCCACATGTATCAGTACACATTTACGTTCATACAAAACAATTTCTAGCCAAAACGTCATGTGATTTTTGTATTCAAGCAAACAGTAGGGATCTAGGAAAAGTTGAAGTAGTAAGAATGTTTTTCCCTGACGTAGGTCCCATGGAATACTGCTTCTCTGAGATGGTCCATGTGAAAGGGTAGGATGGTCATGTAAATGAGTTTGCAAAACTGCTGTTACCTTGTACTTCCATCTGGGAGATTCATGGTATACGTGGTATTTAAAGCTATGAAGAAGTTTGAAGATAAAAAACACTTGTTATATATTGTTTAATTTGGTGTTTTCCTGATACTTGTCATTTTTTTTTTTACTTTTTGGGGAGTCAGTTTTAAAGACCTTTTTACGCAGTTCTTAGTATGTGCTTCTTTTTTCTTCTTTTTTTTTTTTTTTTGAGACAGAGTCTCACTCTGTTGCCCTAGAGTGCCGTGGTCTCATAGCTCACAGCATCCTCAAACTCCTGAGTTCATGTGATTCTGTCAAGTAGCTGAGACTACAGGCTCCTGCCACAAGACCCAGCTAATTTTTCCTATTTTTAGTAGAGATGGGCTTGTTGCTCTTGCTCAGGCTGGTCGCAAACTCCTGAGGTCAGTTACCCCCCAACCCCCGCCTTGGCCTCCCAGAGTGCTAGGATTACAGGTGTGAGCCACTGCGCCTCTCCAATATATACTTAATATTATTTATAGGAAAGTGATTTCTCCAAAACACACCTTGACATAGTATAAAAAAATCTAAATTTCATGGAATTTAGAAATTTCCGCATATTTCCTACTGTCTTCCTTTGGACAGCACTTCTTATTTCGTGCCATATTATTCAACCGTCATAGTATTTCATCTGAGCTGCTGAGAAAATTAAGGTTGCCCTTCCATTTTACAGTTGAAAAAACAAGCTCAGTTTAGGAATGGTTACTTAAAGACTTTCAGAACTAAGTGTCAGGTTTCATTAGTCCCAACTGTCCTTCCATTAAGATACTGTAGCACCTAAAATTATATAAACTTAGGGGCTGGTCCTTTTTGACCAAGATTAGAAATTAGGTACCTGGTTAATAACACTCACCGTAGGTTTTCTTGGGCAGATCGTCACCTCATTCCCATTGCTTGCCCACCTACCTGGGGCATTTCTCTAATTAAGTATATTTTGTTCCTTTGTACTCATTAGATGGAAAGAGGAAAGCGGATCAGTGAAAGCATTTATTTCTAAGATTGGCAGGCACAAAAGAATTTCCAAGAAACAAATACCTAGGCGGTGCCTGTAGCTCAGTGGATAGGGCACTGGCCACGTACACTCAGGCTGGCAGGTTCAAACCTGGCCCAGGCCAGCTAAACAACAATGACAACTGGAACAAAAAAATAGCTGGGCATTGTGGCAGGTGCCTGTAGTCCCAGCTACTTGGGAGACTGAGGCAAGAGAATCGCTTAAGCCCAAGAGTTAGAGGTTGCTTTGAGCTGTGACTCCACAGCACTCTACCAAGGGCAACATAGTGAGACTCTGTCTCAAAAAAAAAAAAAAAAGAACCAAATGCCTAGTCCTGCCTTTGCCTCATTTGTGATCATCAGTTCTGTAAGAAGTAACACAGTTATCCTGGCATGATTTATTTCCAAGGACAGATCAAAGTATCCAGGAGATAGAATTACACTATTTCCCTGTCTTTTTTTGCCCCTTACGGTTGTGACAGCTGCATTTATATAGCCAAACAGACATCACAAAAGTTCTTCTCACTGTGCGTGCTTATCTCCTTCCATCTACTTCATTGATTAACTTGATCCTAACCTTCGGAGAATGAATGAGGGCTTTCAGGTTAGGTAGGCAGGACTGTCCATCTTTAGTGCTTTGCCCCACATGTGAACAGCTATGTGAACTTGGTCATGATTTTCTCTCTATCCATACAATTAGGCAACTAGACTAGGGCTGGATTTGATAGTAGAAATTTTAATTCTTTACCAATAATAAGAAAGGTCATAGCAGGGGATAGAATGGAGAAACTAGATAGTTTTATTTTTTTTAAGTTCTTTTAACATCAGATGTGGCCCAGTCAGAGGTAAATATCAAAAGGCATGGTAAAACCAAATACCAAATACTTTCTTGTGAAGCTGGTATAGGTCAGTAAGTTTGACCACTTGACAGTCCTCTGCTATGAGATAACACTTAAAATATGCTCATCAAAGTATTCCTGGTACAAATCTCTTCACTGTACTTGGAAAAGCTAGCTGACAAAATACGCTTTGGCTTTGAGACGAATGAGAGATTTTCTGTCCTCAGTTACATATAGCTAATTGTTGGCAGAGTTGGAGCTAAAGTTAAGGCTTTCTGATTCTCTACCTCTATTGCAGACGTAGAATGTGCTAGGGCCCTTGGGGCAAAGCTTAAAAGGAAGTTCTCCGTGTATAATTGACCATCATGGAAAAATGTACTTCTGAGGTGTTAATTATCCTGTTACTTATAATACGTGAGTTTCTGGAGATAGGACTCAGAATTTCTGTGGCATCTTCATGCCCAGTATCACAGCCTTACTTTGCCATACCTTTCCACACTGTTCTCGAGCTCTTCCCCTCTCCAGAATTCTTTAGCTCAATGAGTGTTCCTTTCATTGGCGCAGCTCCAGAATGTAGTGGGGAACCAAACACAGGTTGGATGTCACCATCCTTGGAAACCACCTATTTTGTCCTTACTGACGTAGTTTAACCGCTCCAAGTGATAGCGGGAACTGGGAGCAATGATAGATTATTGCCTCTTACGTTCCTGAACATCTCATTTAACAAGTGAAGAGATGGTTGACTCCCCCAAAGTCTCTTGAGATGGCAACTCCACTCCTAGTCTGGAGAGGCCAATGTAATCCATGAACCTTTTTGTCAGTGCTTTTCAACACTGATGTCTATTACACATACCACATAATCTAAGGAGTTAAAAAATACATTGACCAGTTGGGAGGCTGAGGCAAGAAGATTGCCTGAGCTCACAGGTTTAAGACCAGCCTGAGCCAGAGTGAGACCTCCTCTCTAAAAATAGCTGGGCATTGTGGCAGGCGCCTATAGTCCCAGCTACTTGGGAGGCTGAGGCAAGAGAATTGCTTGAACCCAAGAGTTGGAGGTTGCTGTGAGCTAAAGACTCCATGGCACTCTACCGAGGGTGACGAAATGAGACTCTCTCTCAAAAAAAAAAAAAATTACATTGACTAGATTACCAATTAGATAAAATTAGAATTTTCAGGTAGAACCTAAGCATTTACAGTTTTAAATCTCCCATCTAGAATAAACTGTTAACAGAGGGACATGCTTGGCCTGTCTAGTTATGGCTTAACATCTTAGTATCAGTGAGAGACAGCCATAGAGACTGTTTGGTGAAAGGTCTCAGAGCTAAGTTAATTCACATCCATGGACCAGATTCTAGAACTTAATCTATCCATACCAGCAATTCATAACCTTCCTAATGCTGCGACCCTTTAATACAGTTCCTCGTGTTGT